CTTTGATAACCCTTTTAGAGGTACGTTGTGGTGGTGATATAAAAATAGAATGCGCACTAAAAATAACGCAGATAGGGAAATGTTACTTCTGAAACCACGTACTAGGTGAAAAAAGGGGGTATAGCAATCCTTGAGGGATTGATTTGTGATATGCATTGAGTTAGACTTGGGTAAAAAGAACTTGACTCACAGTAATGTCATAGCAATCCTTTAGGGATTGATGGGATAGGTGGACCATTTTTGGTCAAGAATTTATCGTCAAGGTTCATCCTAAAGGGTGACTCATAGAATTAAAGTCCTTAATCTACCTTCTAGGCAAATAAATATAGAAAATTGAGGGCTATAAATATCATGTACCCAAAATCTCATGTCAAAGAGTTTCTATAGCAGAAACTAGCACTGCAAACAAGTCATAGTCTTTAATTGTTATCACATGCAAGCAAAGGTTTAGCAACGACAGGTGCAACCTAACCATATTGAGAATTCATGCTATTGTCTCACTTGTAAGTTGTGTGATGAATTTCAATAGCTATGGTCTATAGCAAATCATAAATTGCCAACAAGTGAAATAACAAAATCTCTTATATGAACATAATCAAGAGATTATATGCTAAATGTTGTCAATTAAAGAGAAGCACATGCAATATGTGATATATTTGTCCCTTATGTCTTGGACACAAAAAATTCAATTTAGTCATGCACATCCATTAAATAAAGAGTATCATATTTGGTACACACAAGGCATGACATGACAAGAGATATTCTAATTCATAAATTAGAAAAATGAGAGAAGTACTATTCGCCGAAGAATAAGGAGCACATGTTTGCTACCGGGCCCATTCATTCCTATTCCGGGGAGTCAAAAATATTAATTTTCCAAGAAGCTCTCATTTTATCTCATAGTTTCATACAAGCATGAAAACATCACAAAATAGCAAGATATACAAGTTGAAAACGACAAAATTTTTTAGAATTGTGACCTGGATTTCAGATTTTTTGGGGAAAAATGGTAACACATTTTGGCACAAAATTTTACAGATATGTAGTTCATCAAGTCTAGAATGTACACGAAAATTTTCATGCCAATCCAAGGTCTAAAAGTATTGTTCCCAACATTGCTCCAGACAGAAAAATAATTGGCAGCACACTGCCAAAACTTTACAAATTTTTCTGGAATAACCAAAGCATATTTTTAACAAAATCTTTTTACAGACATCAAATAACACGAGTCTAGGTTCTCTAGAAAAAATTCCATGCCAAAAGGATTTCAAGAAGTATTTTGCACGAATTTAATTTTCAAACTGCGCCGGTCAAAATTTTCAAGCAGTGATTACTGTGTAGAAAAAATATTCACAATTTGTTTGCTTCAGGCAAACTAGCATGATGTGAGTCAATTTTGACTTTTGGAAAGTAGCAGATGTAACACCCCCGATTTCCAGGCCATTCTAAACTTAATTATGCAAGATAATCTAACCACAATATAAGCAAAACACAGCGGAATTCTAACTATATAAAACTGGAAAACGAAGAGTGTTATGCCACGTCCACACTTAAGTTGAACGCACAGGCAAGAACATCATCAACATCAACAATCTAAAAGTCTAACAAGAGACAAGGTCAAACCAACAACAATCTATTGTTCATCATAAGAGGCACACAAGCCCATAACAAAGCTAACAAAGTCTGAGGGAACTACACTATCCATCACTAGATCGCGCTCGCTACTACTCGGGACCTGAAAAACACATAAATAAATGGGACGACGCCCGGTCAGCGAATGATGCTGGTAACCCACCAATACATGTTAATATTATATATAGATATTATATACAAAATCATTTTTGAAACGGAATACTGTATATATAAGTTCAAAGCCAAAGATAGAAGTCAACCACAAGATTCTATATCACTCACAACGAGATTAAGGGAAACACATGCCAAGACACGACAAGATGAAACAACGACAACACAAGTAAGGTTCAAGGTGTATTCTACCATAACTCAGTAGAATATCACCCGACATGCTCAACACAAGAGAATAAAGACACATATTGGCACACATGCCTTCGTGACATCACTCATCAAGAATAGAGAAACACACATCGGCAACACATGCCTTTGTGACATCACACATCACGAATCAAGAATCCTTCCTTATGCCCGGTTCCAACCTTATGGCTACCCCCAACCTTATGTCTAGTTCCAACCTTTACCTCCAGGACCCCGGTACTCCAAGTCCAACCTTATTCCTCCTAGGACCGTCGTCCCCACTCCGACAATCTCCAACAATACCACCGATTTCATAGTACACGAGGGTACCGATCATACACTTTGGCAACACATGCCTCCCAAGAAATACGTGAACCTTACACACAGGCCACAAACTCCATAATCACGTCATGGCCACCACGAGGACCACTGCCGTACTTTGGTGACTAATGTCCCATTCCATTAATCGTGCAATCCAGGTACAGCCACACACACAACACCATCATAGGAATTAATCAACGGATCACAACGAAGGTATGAAACCATACTCAACAAGGAAATGATCATAATCCGACAACAACGATGATCAACACAAGTTATCCACAATAGGAAAGGACAAACAACACACGCTAGCATTTAAACACCGAACTAGCATGCTTATCAAACGAGTAAACTAAACATAGTTCCGAAGAACACATAAGACTCATCATTGGTTCAACGAATCACAAGGTTGAACACTTAACACGATTCAAGACACCAAAAACCTACAAGGAATCCTACCATATAGTTCTAGACATACGAAACATCAAGAAGACACTCAAAGGCCCAACAAAAGAACATCGGGAAGTCCAAACATCAATTACCGAGTCAAAAGAATCACGGGGAACAAATCCCCACACAACCACCATACTGTACCCGCGGGAACCACTTCCCACCATCAACGTACCCCGCGGGTGGGGCGGCGGGTGGACCCCTACCCGCCGTTCCGCCCGCGGGTGCCGAACCCTGTACAAATTATCCTTTGGGGATTTTCAACACCAAGCTCAAATTCAAGTCCAAAACATGCAAAATCTCACCAAATATAACAAAATGACTTGAATCAAAGGAATAACCAAGAAATGGCATACAAGAACCCTAATAACAAGCTCTAGATATGCATTTTCACAAGACAATGCATCAACACTCACATTTCATAGCAAAATCACATGTAGAATCCAAGAAATCATCACATAGGTAAATTGTAATTTTACATTTTCTCTTTTTTAATCAAATTAACTGGATCAACTTACTGATGAGAAGTACCGACTGATTCAACGAAGACGTTAGTCAGTAATGCAAATCATTTAGATGTTTATAGAAAGCGATAACAGAACAAAGCAAAACACAAGATGTTTACCCAGTTTGATACAATGTGTATCTACGTCTGGGGGATGATCACATAGGCGTCCAATCCACTAAATCATAATCCAATGTACAAAGGTAGAGAAACAATAATCTCACCCAAGTGCCCCACACAAGGTACGTACCCAGTCTACACAGGTTTAGTGGATTGTTGAAGATGGAGAGGCATGCATACAGAAGTCCAATGAAATCCCTTCACTTGGAGGGCCAACTCTGATGCATTCCACTTCAATGACGCTCTTCACGGTTATTCCCACAACAGTGTGATCGTAGTGTCCTTTCATTTAAAGAACAGTGATTCTTCTCAAGTTCTTAATCTTAATCACCATGAACATGTTGTATTGAGAAGAGGCAAGGTTATCAAAGATCTGATCTCATAAAATTGATAAGGAGTGTTTCTTCTCTCTTGAAAGCGTAACCCTAATCCTTGTCGAATAAGAGTACTTATAGTTCCATAGTACGAACACTCTCCATAGATATCTTTGATTGTAGATGGTAGGACAATATTTGAAGAATGTAATCATAAAGATTCGGTCCATACCTTTCCAAAACAGATACGCTGATCTTCTTTCCAAATCTATCTTCTTTAAATCGCGTACATACTTTAAGGAAATAGCTTCCCAATTCAGTTCTTCAGTGTCAGTCCCTCTGTTGTTGTATCTGATTGATCAGACCTCTGTAAAACAAAACCGAAACTAAGCTAATCCTATCTTAGTTTGCCATAATAATATTGCCAATTATAAGTTGGAGTTTTTTGAGCAATTAAAACACTAACAAACTCCCCCTTTGGCTATTATTTGGCAAAACAACTCGACTACGTATAAAGACACAAAACTGAAAGAACTAAGATAGGCTAGCATAAAAACCAAACCAAATATCTGATTACAAAGCAAAGCGGAAATAAAGTACAGCATACAAGTCATGCTGGATCTAAAAAACAGTCATAAACATTCTTCAACCAAAAGAAGTAGTGCCATCACAATCAACGCCCAGCCAGGGCCAGAAGGTATACAAAAACACATAAAAAACTCCCCCTGAGTTCATACTCCCCCTTTTTGCCAATGATAGACAAAGCATGGTCAAGCATTGGAGGCAGTCTCACTATCAGACTTCGCAGGTTCAGTAGTAGCAGATTCCGACAAGCTTAAACGAAGAAGAACAGTGGCCAATTCAGTACGAGCCCCTGCCAGTTGCCTCGCAATTATGCCGTGAACAGTCTCAAGCTCAGAGACCCTTGCCTTCAACTGAATAGAGAGTTGGAGATCCCTTGCATGCGGCGAATCATTAACCACTGTATCAGCTTCAAAATTGGAGGGAGCAATCACCGGTGTAACATCACAAATATGATCTCCAGTCAACAGACGACGGTCAACCGTATAGAGCAGAGTCGGACTTATCACCTCACTTGGAATTGGCTCAAGATCCTATGTTGTTAGTATTCCAAAGATTAGATTAGGGAAGGGTAGCCTTACCTTCTGTTCACGTGGATGGATCAAGGTGAAAATATGATTATAAATCCAGGCCCCCAAATCAAACGCCATTTTTGTTCCAATTCGAAACAAGAGACTTGCCAATTGCTTGCCCATGGTATGGAAATGAGCTGATGGAAGCTAGTTGTGAAGCGCAAGACGATGTAATATGACATATTTTGAGGTGAGCTGAGAGCTGGGTAGATAATCCTTGTCACCAGAAGGCCATGTATCAGTCTGTCCACCGGTTAGGGTCTTGGCCACTGAATCCCAGTCAGTGATTGCTTCTTCGTGCACCGCTGACAAGCCATAGTATTCATTAATCATGTCAGGACCAAGGACGTACCATTTACCTCGAATGAAGATTTGCATTGGCCGTGGCCCAGTCAGATTGTCTATGTCTTCATTGAGATTACAGTAGAATTCATACGTGAGGAGCTTCGAATATAGACAGATAGAAGAGACTGTCTTCAGCAAGCCCACTTCACTCAGCAGTGGCAGGATGTCGCAAACTGAATTCATTTGGTTTTCATCAATAGACCGTTGGACAATGAGATCTCTCCTGACCATGGTGGAACATTTACCTTGAGCAGTGGATGTAACAAACTGAGGCTTGTAAATAGATGTGTCAGAACTTTCAACAGGTTGAACCTCAGGAGTGATACTCCGACCTCTGGAACGAGTATAGATGGTTTTCCTTTTCGGGTAGAGGGTGTGGGAACAACAGCTGGTGGAGCAGCAGCATGACCTTTTTGCTTAACAGACGACCGTAGTGTCTTGAACACTTGTTGAATTGGAGGATTAGCTTCAGGTTCGACAGATTCACTAGACTTTCTTCTCTTCTCAGGCTGATCTACAACAGCATTGTCATCACCCGTCTCAACAACAACCTTCACAGGAACATTCTTTTGTTTTGATCTTCTCGTCTCCTTGGAATGAGAATGAACAGGAGACACAGAGTGACTGGAATCAGGAACATGGGCAGAAGAACTTCCAAGAAGATTTGTGACTTCTCTAATTTTGAAGGTGGTGGAGTCAGGATGAGCAGTAGCCTCAACAGTTGGGGGCTTAGGTGCATGAGCTTGTGTGCCATAGACTTCTGCTAGGATCTTTTCATCTTCACTCGAGGACTCAGAAGGATGAATCACACGGTATGGTTCTGGAATGGAGGCAGCAGGTAAACCAGCAAAATGCCGGACATGTTCAAGACTTTCAGCCAAAGATGAGGAGGTGTAGACTGGAATCCGTCTATTCTTTCAGATGCATGGGTGCTTGAGTGTTTAAAAGACTCAACTTCAACAGGCAAACCAGAAGGATTATCAGAGGGACAGATTTCATGTGGGACATCAGCGATCGCAGAAGGAGGCAGAGCAACATGATCAGACGAGTAAACAACCAAACTTAGATTGTTGGTCTCCTTAGAGGGCTTACCTTTCGTATCAGATACAACATCAACAACTTCCTTCAAAGGCTCAGGCTTTATAAAGGGGATGCAAGGGGGATCATCAGAAACAGAGGATTTCACAGATAATAACTCATTTACATTATCAGACACAGTAGGCACAGCAGACGGAATATCAGCAGTTACAAAATCATCAGGCTTATCAGGAGAAATTTCAATAGGAGAATCAGAAGAATTTGACCTGTTACAAAGAATCTCCATTCGGTGTCTGGCTTCATTCTCAGCAGCCTGTAGGTATAGGGGTTGTGCAATTGCTCTATTCTGATTCAAGAGCCCTTTGTGCAAAATATTGGAGAAACGCTCCGGCTCGATTTCCATCTAAGGGCTCTGGGATAAATGCTGGAGAAATCTCATTACTAGCTTCGGAGGCCAGCAACAGGAGCTCACTGGTGTCATCTTCAGACCAGTCGGCATAGAACTCTGGATAATCCGACATCACTGTGACCATAATCTCGTCACGAAGAAGGGGATCAAGCTTCAACTTCTTCTTCATATCTAACTGGAGCAGGGTTTTGACATGCTTGGTGGCTGTCTCTTGTGAATGAACCTTTCTCCCAAGCTTGATGATAATGTTACGAATAACATCCGCCATTGATATGTAAAGTAGGAAGGCTGAGAAAGAAACCGTAGGTAGAAAAACAGAGAGAAATCAATCGGTGGGCAGAGATAATTTTTGAACTTCTTCGTTCTCCCAAGCCTGACCCGATACTCAAATATAGACCCAAGGGTGAAGTACGCTAATAAATGCAGCACGTCAGATTACATGCAGAGCCGATGTGATTGACGCAACGGTATGCCTTCTTTTTAAGCAGGAAACGGATGCAGAGAGGATTTGAAATTTGAAAAAGGTGAATTACTTTATGGAAAAATAGGTTAACATATTCTCTTAACAAAACAGAAGAGAGTTTTAAAAGGAAGTCAAAGCTGGTTATTGACCGGGAAACTTAATTCCATATACTCTCCTTCTGTATTACTTACTGCCTTATTAATCAATGCTGCAGATTCCCAGAGCAGATCTGAGAATCTCAAATCGATTTGCATCTAGGGGCTTAGTCAGAATATCAGCCAATTGCTTATCTATTTGAATATACTCTAACTCAATTTCCTTTGATTCTACCAAGTCTCTGATGTAGTGATGTCTTATATCAATATGCTTCGTTCTGAAGTGTTGAACTGGATTCTTTGAGATATTGATAGCACTGACATTGTCACAGTAGAGTGTCATAATTCCTTGAGTCAGACCATAATCTAAAAGCATATGTTTCATCCATACCAACTGAGTGCAACATCCACCAGCAGCGGTGTATTCTGCCTCTGCAGTACTTAAGGAAATTGAATTTTGTTTCTTACTCAGCCACGATACCAAGTTTTTACCAACAAAGAAACATCCTCCAGAAGTACTCTTTCGGTCATCAATATTTCCTGCCCAGTCAGCATCACAATAAGCAACCAGACTTAGTTCAATGTCTTTGGAGTACCACGACCCATATTGAATTATTCCTTTTATATATTTCAGAATACGCTTAGCAGCTATCAGGTGTGATTATTTTGGATCAAATTGATACCGTGCACATATTCCAACACTGAACATTATGTCTGGTCGACTGGTTGTCAAGTACAGCAGACTTCCTATCAGGCTTCGGTAGACTGTGTTATCCACTGATACACCTGTGTCATCTTTAGATACTTTTGTGGAGGTGGAGATAGGTGTCCTGGATGGTTTGCATGATTCCAGATCAAACTTCTTGACTAAATTCTTAGCATACTTTTCTTGTGAGATAAAGTATCCTTCAAGACTTTGCTTAACTTGTAGCCCTAGGAAATATGTCAGTTGACCAACCATGGACATCTCGAATTCTTCCTTCATGACTTTTACTAACTCATCAGTGTATTTCTGTAAGGTAGATCCAAACACAATGTCATCCACATAGATCTGAGCAATGGTGACATGACCTCCAGTGGCTTTTACGAAAAGCGTTTTGTCGACACTTCTTCGTTTATACCCGTGTTGTAGCAGATACTGTGTCAGTCATTCATACCATGCTCGTGGGGGTTGTTTAAGACCATAGAGAGCTTTTCTAAGCTTGTAGACATGGGATGGATAATCTGGATCTTCAAAGCCTTTAGGTTGTGCCACATAAATATCTTAATGCAGATATCCATTCAAGAACGCTGTCTTAACATCCATCTGAAACAGTGTGAATCCCAGAATGCATGCGACTGCCAGAAGGATTATGATTGACTCTAGTCTCGCCACAGGAGCAAACGTTTCATCATAGTCAATTCCTTCTATCTGAGTGTATCCTTGTGCCACTAACCATGCTTTGTTCCTTGCAATATTCCCAGCTTCATCAGTTTTATTTTTGAAGATCCACTTTGTTCCAATTATGTTCACACGATCAGGTCTTGGTACTAAATCCCAAACATGATTTCGGTCAAATTGATGTAGCTCCTCTTGCATCGCCTTGATCCACAGATCATCCTGTAAAGCTTCTTTTACATTTCTTGGTTCTATCTTTGAGGTATAGCAAGCATATCCGGATATTTCTATCAGATTATTTCTTACTCTGCTTCTGGTCTTCATCCCGTCTGTTGGATCACCAATGATGTTATCCGATGGGTGATTTTTCTGAGTTCTGGTGGGTTTGTCTTTACCCGTATCATTTATAGGGGTGGTATCCTGTTCAGAACTTTCTTGATCTTCATCTGATGATTCTTGTGTTTTGGGCTGACTGTTGTCATCGGCAGTATTCTGTTCACTGGGAGGGAGCTCAGTCTCTAAATCAGTCACTGTTGTTTCCACTGATTCATCTGGATTGTCATCTATAACCACATTTACTGATTCCATTACAGATTGAGTTCTCTTGTTGTAGACTCTATAGGCACGACTGTTTGGAGAGTACCCAATAAAGATGCTCTCATCGCTCTTAGGTTCAAACTTTCCTCTTTGTTCCCTATCAATCAGCACATAACACTTAGTCCCAAACACATGAAAGTACTTCAGGTTTGGCTTCTTTCCCTTCCAGATCTCATATGGTGTTTTGGTCGTTCCTGGTCTAAGATAGACTCTATTCACTGTGTGACAAGTTGTGTGAATTGCTTCAGTCCAGTAGCGCTGTGGTAGATGAGAAACATGTAACATAACTCTAGCCATTTCCTGCAAAGTTCGATTCTTTCTTTCCACCACACCATTCTGTTGAGCTGTTCTAGGTGCTGAGAACTCATGTGATATACCATGCTCGGAGCAGAAATCTGAGTATAGAGAATTTTCAAATTCTTTTCCATGATCACTTCTCAGTCTCTGAATTTTTATTATAGGCTCGTTCTTTTCCTTTTGAACCCTTATGCACAAGGTTTTAAAGGCATTGAAGGCTTCAGATTTTTCTCTAAGAAAGTACACCCAGCTGTATCAAGAGAAATCATCTACACACACAAATATGTATTTCTTTCCCCCAATGCTTTCAGTCTGTGTTGGCCCCATGAGGTCTATGTGAACAAGCTCTAGACATTTCTCAGTAGTGATAACTCTTACGGCTTTATGAGGAGCTCTTATTTGTTTCCCAATGGCACATGCACCACAAACTCTCTCCAGTTCTATTCTGATCTTAGGTACTCCTTTCACAGCTTCTAGTTTGATCAATTTATCCATATCTCTGAAGTTTATGTCACCCAGTCGTCTGTGCCAGAGTTTTGATTCATCAGATTTTGATAGGTGACAGGCATTTTTGTTTGCCAAAACATAACAGTTGTCTGAAGATCGTGTTCCTTCCATGACTAGTTGATCTGCTTTGTCACTGACTCTGCAGCAGTTACGATTGAAGCACACATTCCAGTTTTGATCACACAACTGACTGATGCTAATCAGATTTGCTTTCAAACCACTGACTAACAAAACCTCTTCTAAGTGAGGTAAACCTGGTACATTCAGGGTACCTTTTCCAACTATTTTTCCTTTTTTCCCGTCGCCATATGTAACAGATCCACTGCTGGGTTGAATAGCCAAAAGACACTTTACATTTCCAGTCATATGCCTGGAACAGCCACTGTCGAAATACCATCTAGCTTTAGTCGTAGATGCAGTCAGAACTATACTGGGGTAGCATATAACTTCTGACTTTCTAACCCAAACCTGTCTAGTGAATGGTGTAATAGTCTTGTTCTGATATTTTTCCTTTCTTTGATCTCTGTAGAAGAAATAACACTCAGGTCGAGTGTGACCTTTTGTTTGACAGTAGTGGCAAATGGGAGTGTATTGTCTAACTTTGACAAACTTATTTTTGAACCTTGAATACTGAGATTGAGGAGCTACTCTGCTGGAGTCAGTATCTGCAGTTCGATCATATGCCTTTCTCTTTTCATTTTTCTGAACTGACCGGGATGACTGTCCTCGTTCAAAACTGTGAACTGCTATTGCTGTTGACATACCCTCTTTTACAAACATAGGAGCACTATTCGAAGATTCACCTCGTTCAAATCCCAGACCCTTTTTATCATTTGGATTTCTACCAGAGTCCAGAATTTTGTCTAATGTTGATGTGGTGTCCATCATCTGGATATTTTTCTTCATACCTTCCAATTCCTTTATCAATTTTCCTTCTAGGGATCTTATCTGTGTGATAAGATCTTCTTTTATGACAAGATCTGTATTTAGTTTCTTCAGAAGATCATCCCTTTGCTTTAGTTCGTCATTCAGACTTTTATTGACTTTCACTATTTGTTCCCAGCTTGCAACAAGTTTAGCAAATTCCATTTCAAGTTGTATATGCCTCTTTTCAAAATCTTCTGTTGATATATAGGATTCTCCATCGGATTCATTTTCGTCTGACTGATTCTCTGTAGCTGTAAAGAAGGTTACAAAGTTTCCCACATTATCATCTGACGGGTCATTAGATGCTTCCTCCTCATCATCACTTAGCGTAGCTACTGACATAGCCTTCTTCCTCTTGAGATAAGTTGCACATTCAGCCTGTATGTGTCCAAAACCTTCACACTCTCTACACTGAACTGACCGGTTGAGAGACCTCCCTATATCTGTGGAACTGTTTCTGTATTGTCTTGTTCGGCCAGTCTGGGATTGATTGTTCTGTGGAAAAGGTGAGGTTTTTGCTTTCTGATACGCGGAGTTATTGCCTTTGTATTGTGTCCTGATAGACTGACCTTGACCTTTTTTGTTGAATCCTTTCAAGATTTTCTTAAAATTC